GGTTCGTGCTCTCGCCGTTCCCAGCTCCTGCGTCCCTAAAGAAGTGCATATTGCTTATAACTGCACACGGGAGGTCCGGGGGGGCTGGAAAAGCAGAGGGCTGTGCCGCTCACAGCTCAGGGGCCTACTGTTGGTTATAATACTAATCGCAACCGGCGTTAGCAGGAGTCCCTGTGTGGAGACGAGCGAGCCTGGAGGGTCACCCAAAGCAAAGCAAAGCCAAAACCTCATTCAGACGAAATTGTGAAGTGCCTTCAGAAAAGCAGCACAGATGTCAGTGTCCAGCCAGTGCTAGAGACAAACCTGAAAGATGTGCTTGGCTTTCAGTTAATTCTCAGTGTCGACTGTACCTCCTTTGAGAGTGACCGGAGCATCCAGTACTGACTGGCAGAGTACAAGGCACCCACAGAAAATGGAAGCACCCTAAGTAAGGAAACTCCGTTGTCTTACGAAATTTTTTAGCTCTCCTGTAGCAAATTAAAGTCCCTGGTACACTGAGAATTATTCCTATGAATCCTTCCTTTGCGGTGTCTGGTTAAAACCTCTCCACGCCATACGTGCACACCAAATAGTAAATAAATTTTATGTACAAGTTCAGATGTAGGTGACTCTTCATGCCAAGGCAATCAGTGCTCCTGTTGTGGTTGATGGCCTGTTACAGCAGCGTCAGATGCCACTTGCTTGAACATCCAACTGGAATAACCTGCCCAAGGCCCTAACAAGGGCCTCTAAATAGGTTAGCCCCCAACAGATACCCCCTGGCCCCACTGGAGGTTGAGGGATTGATCTAAGAACCTCAGGACTGGTGAAATTCTAAAGCTGATAATTTTGCAAGAATTAAACTAGACAAATACTTGGTACCCATGGACCCCTCGCAGAACAGAGTCCGTTTTTTGCAAAAGCTTGTGGGCCAGCAGTATGTCCCTGAAGAGAGAACAAGTTGAGGCAAACTAAAGAAGTGGGAGGAGGAGTAGGAAGGTATCTGTTTAAGCGACTTAACCCCATAATAATAACAAAACAGTCTATTTCGAGTCTTAGTTTTTTGCTTATTTGATGCTGAATATTTTGTTTCAGTTATATTTTAGTTAAGGAGATTGGTGCTCTGTAAGCACCTAAAATAGAATATGGAGATAGAGACAGCAGAGGCAGAATGGATGCCAAAGTGAAATGATCTGGAGTGCTGAGCACTGCATCAGCCCACACACAGGCCCACCCCAAGGAGAGTGATGCAGAGAAGCCTTAGATGGTGCTCCCTGCTTGGAAAAATGATGTCAGTATTGGCAGACCCAAAACTAAACTGAAGGCTAACCAAAATAAACTCATTAAATGTACTTCCCTTCTATATAGCATAAAAATCCCATTCCCAGTGCAGTGCACCTTTGTGTTAGGCGTGTGCTTTATAACAGCGCTGCTGACAGCTTCACAGCCAGCACATAACAGTATGCTTACTAAATATAAGTACTTCATTAGCATCTAGCATACTTCGGCTACAACAAAAATAATAACAAATAGCCACACTGTGGGGAAAGTCAATGCTGCTTGCCAGGAAAGGTGTGCACAAAGTGCTATATGCCTGGGACAGACCAGAGTTTTAGGCATATTCTCATTTCACAGAAGCTGACAGTCAGTCTCAGAATAAGGCAGGCTGAAGAGAGATTTAATTAGGTAGCTGTTATGAACTGTACCCTCACAAAAACATTGGGAAGAATAGCAGGCCCCATGAGACAGCTCTGTTTTCCAGGTTTACAAAGAAAGACAGCTTCTCTCTTTTTGGTACCATTTCTAGAATGTCAGCAATAATCTGAGTTGTTTTAGGATAGGAATGCATGCATATTCTGAGGATCAGACATTTTAGGGGGCTGGATTTTGCATGTGCTCGTGCCCCCAAAGGTAAGAACCTGAAGTTCTAGACAAAGAATGGAATTAAAGGGAAGGGGAAGGATCAAAGAAAATCCTTCATAGGGAGATCAGAACCTATATTCTGGAGGCATCAGATGTTCCTGTCATTTAAAAAATTCTTTTCATGAAAAGACTTTAAAAAAGATGAGTCTTCAGCAGAGGAAATCCTAGGTACTGCCACGCCAAGTTCCGAGGGGAGAGGCAGTCTGTTTGTTCTCCAGCAGTAGGCTGTGGAGACTGGAATTTATTTCAACAGTTTCGCAGAACTGATAGTAGAAATGCATCTTCTCTTCCAGGTTGTTGGAAAACTTGGTGTTCCCTCCCCCCACAATGGTGACTGGACAGTTGGAGAAGTCATTTCATTATCAGGTGGGTTTATTATTGCTTTTTCATGGTCTTAGACAAATGAAGAAGAAAGAGTATAACCTATCAAGGATTCTGGCTTCCAGCATCAGTAATTTAGGATGTATGTATAATACTTCTCAAGCAAACTCCACAGTATGGTAGATTAGAATACCAGATGTCTCTTGGTCTGCAGTATTTGACATCCATTAAGTCAGGTGGTTTTAATCTCATAGCTTCTTATCGCAAGGAATCTGAACAAACTGATAGAAACTCCTTCTTCCAAGTATGTGAGCGAAAGCAAGAGAAGAATAAATCCTTAAATGATGCAAATTAACATGGATTTATTGACTTCAGGACATGTTTACAGTTGCTGAAAATCTATACCAGAAATTACAATTCTGATTTAAAATTACAATCACCTTTGACCTGTGTATTTGGAGTTGTTGAGTTTTTTCCTCTCCCTATAGCATGAAGGTTTATGACCGCTCTTCCACCTTACCAAAAGGAAGAAAGTTTAACCTAGATTTACTAAAGAATTGTATAAGGTTCAGTAAGGCAGACTTGTCTGTTAGAGGAAGTATTTGTGGACTTTGCAGATCTGCAAAATCTGTGGATTTTGTTGTACATATTCATATTTGCTTGCTAACAAGGTATTCCAAACAAGCAGTTTTCCAAAGAACGTTTTTACTTACTGCTGTGCGATACTGGGGCCTGATTCTGCAACCATTTAGTCATATATCTAATTTAAATGTACTAATAACTTGCTGAAATAATCCTGTCTATTTTTAAGCAAAATTCCTCATTAAATCCCTCATTAAATTTAGCCAGGACTTTTATTCCAAAATTCATGTTCCGATTTGGCCTATGGGAATATTCAGATGAAAATAAATTAGTCATGGACAAAGGGGATGTGTAAAAACAATGCAAGAGGCTCATTTAATAACTTCCATTATGTAAAAGAGCAATCTTGAATGACTTTTTTCCCCCCTATTTTAATGTTAAATAGGACAAACTGAAGTAAGAAAGGAAGGATACTGGAGTAGAATGAATTAATTTCCAGCCTTCCTTCAGGACTTAAATTCTGAAACATTATTTGTTTATCATTACTTATTATCCCATTTTAACTTATACATTGGTTCAAAATCTGTAGCTAACAGCAACAACGGTTCAGCTTTTATCTATTAGTTATAATACAGAAATTTGAAACCATAAAGTAAACTGGTAAACCAGTCTGTGGCCCACTTGGTTTTCTATATATTCTTGAAGAACAAAATGCAAACTCAAGCCATTCCTAATAAGCTGGACTAAGAACTGTTTTACTGTTTGTTATGTTGTATAATTTAAAATTGTGAGGATTCTGTGTCTACTGAAATTAGAAATAGATTTTTTCCTATAGTAGAATGACCATTCCGATACATATCTTTCTATACAGAATATTTTAAAATATATTTATCTTTAAAAAATCACTTTTCTTTGGCAGATGTTTTAACTGGAATGACCTTCAGAGGGTCCAGTTCATATAAATGTAACCAACAGGGAAGAAGCATGATCTAGGAAATATTTAGTATGCTTGGCAGTGTTATTTAGAAATATGAAATACATACTTAACATACATATATATTTCCGAGTACTCTCTGCTCTTCTGCATTTGATTTTTGAAAAAGAGTGAATACTATTTGGCTGTTATCCATAAAACACTAACAATAACAAGACATAAAAGTTACACGCTCTTTTTTCCTATTGTTTATTTGTATCATGAATCATCCAATGTTTACCTTTTTATGGAACTGGCACTTGTAAAGACTGAGAAGGAAAATCCTGTTCTCACATTCTCAAATCTTCCTAGAGAATTTTTCATAGGGTTATGAAGAAAGATTGTTCTTTAAGATTGGGTGAAAAAGTTTTGTTCTCTTTTAATTTCTTTTACGTTTCAAATGTAAACAAGTAGAAAAAAGAACTTTGATTTAAAAGAATTATTTGATTCATCTGCAAGATATAAGGTTTCATCTGCAAGATGTATGACTGAGTTTATGTATGGGAGCAGCTCTTTAACTCCCATCTGCCTAAGTCTTTTTAAGATAGAATCTTTAAGGTTCCTAGCTCAAACTGCTGTTAAGTTTAGAGGATGAAACTTTTAAAATTATTAGGCCTCGGGGATGCCAATTTACATAGCTACATAGAAAGACATTGACTAATTAATTACAATGTGTAAATAATTCAGTTCTAAACAACTGATAAATCAGTTTTTTATCACCATCTAAAACTTCACAAGACAATGAATACTCAACATATGTAATGGCTACTATTACTCAGTTACACAGAAGGCCCTTTTAACTCTTAATGCTCAGTGGAGATCCATAATTCTATGTGATTTTGATGCATTCCAGTGGGAAAGAGGCAAATATAAATAAACCATGAGCACATAAAGGATTGGAGAGTTTCTTTTTTTCTGAAAAAGAAACAGTAATCTATAGGAACATGACTCCAGTTTAAAAGAGCTACTGAGTCTGGAAACGTAGAAGCTGAAATTAAAGTGATTTTCATTTCCAGATCTGGTATAAATGTGGTCAAATTCAGTTCTATTCTAGTTTTTTATTTCAATGGAGTTCCACCCACTTATTTGCAATCTTAGTGAAGCTCATAGAGTATTTTTATATAGATACTGGCTGAGATTTTCACAGCTGCCAATGGCATTTAGAAATATTAATTTTGTGGGAAACAGTCCCCCAAAGAAACACTGGGTATCTGAACAAAATTTTGCAGAGAGGATAACCAACTGTTTTCTGATATACCAACAGAATTCTAATTGCCTTGGAAAGGAGTACAGCAAATTCAGCCCCAGTCTGGGTAGGTGGAACATATAACTGGTGAACTTATTAAAACTAATTTTGAATTTGTCCCAGTTGCACCAGTCTTGCACGTACTTACATATTTGGTTTTGACTTCTTAAAGTTCTACCTCATTATATACTGGTTATCTATGCTTATCGCCATTATCAGCTTCCTGGCTGTGCACTGAATGATTGGACAAACTTGTGTCTGACTGTTCTCACATCCCTTCTCCAAGGGCAGATATCTGTAAACTGAAGTTTTGATTTTGATTCTTTTAGTTATGTATATATAATATGAGAAAACAAATTGTACGTGTGAACCCATGTTCTTCAGTGCTTATGTTAACAAAGCCAAGGCTGGAGAAACATACCTTGCATATAAGTGATAAGATTCATTATTTTTCTGAGTTCCTGACAGAATTCCTTCTCACATCTTAGGCCACTACCAGAAAAAAGACACGTAAATCCGCGCAGGAACACTGCAACACTGTAACCTTAGTATTATACTAAGGCAAATTTTGAAGTGTAGTACTAGGTAGAATGGTTGTAAGTCTTTTACTAGAACGAATAGGTCTATAAAATAATCTTTTGCTAATATTACAAGTGAACCACAGTTAACAGAAACATGTTTAGTGATAGAGAGTAAAATAATTTAAAATAGTAAATCTCATCCAATCAGAAGTAATTCATTAATTCATCTTAATAGCTATTACATAGTCCTCTGTGCATAGCAAAAACTCAGTAGCAATGGGATGGCCAAATTCTGTGGTTTTAGACACAAATACTGAGCAATTCCATGGCCCAGTCCAGCTCCCACTGAGATCCAGGAGATTTTGAATGAGACTGTAGAAGATCCTGGCAAATCATTTGACATTGTATGTCATTGAGATGACAGGGCCATTTCTTGCCTGCCCCCAACTGAATGTAAATTTTAAGAGAACAAAGAATACTGATCAAAATCTAGCTATACAACTGAGTGAAAGCAGATTTACAAGGAGCAGGCAGATGCCAGAGTTTAGATGAGTTTTTCTACATTAAATAAGCAACAAAACATTAGTATTCTGTTTTGTTTACATTTATCATTACCATATGTCAAATTAGGGGAAAAAAAATCCCCTCAGTCAGAATGTTATTTTGGAGCATTAGCTTTGAAATACTTTCAAATTCAGAATGATGCAATGTAACAGAAACTACTGCAGAACCTAACTCTGGCATCTTAATTAATTATACTGAAATTGTTCTTAAATAAAGCAAGATATCTATATTCCACACTACACAAAAAGTAAACTTTATTTAAAAATGCCATCTTTAGTATAAATTAATATCAATCATAGTAGGAGTAGACACCAAAAAGGAAAAGTGAAAAACAAGAACAAGAAATAGGAACAAATATACAGCAGTGCCTCTAGTCAAAAGTCCTGTTAATCTTTGGCAACATTCTTTGTATGTCACTGACTGGCTGTTTACTTTTTACTTTACATTTCCAAATTTCTTCACCTATGTACGAACATGACAAATGCTGATATTTTGTGAGAGTATCTACATAAATTTGAATTACTTATCTCATAGTCTCTCCTTAACAGATAAATCTAATCCCTGTACTTTTTAACATCAACGGAAGAACATATTACATGCACTTAGCAACTTTGAAGAGATTAAAATAAGATACCCACATTCTAAACTATCTGATTTAAATGTTGGTAAGATTATTCTGCTGACAACTTCAGCCTTCCACAGTACAGGCATTTTGGCCAAAGACTACAGGACTACATTTGCTATTTATCTTTTTGAGATAATTGCATACATTTCTTAGCCCAATATTTGTACAGAATTCTTGTTTCAATAATGAGATCTTCATCTGGGTAAAATCAGATCAGATGAGGTGAACGATCTGTACATTAACATTCTTCTTCAAATATCCTATGAGATTCAGGGACTTCCAAGATTCACTTACCCAGGCAAAGCTCTTGCAGCCCACAGCAATCAAACATTGTGCCATATTTTCTGAAAAGAAATTAAGCTAGGAAAATGACAGCTTAAAATTGTTGGCCTGGTTTGAAAACAAAAGATCAATTTACATGTTCTTCCTTAGCAAAAAATTCAACTTCGCTGCTTAGTAGTTAGAAAAAAATTATATTAAAAATAGGAGGCTAAGCATTCTACATCAAAAAAGGAAGTTAAAACTGCTATGATTTGCAGACTAGCTAGTTGCCAACAGGATTTCTGACAGTATTTCATATACTACTCCTAACATAAATGCTAGCATGGTTATGGGACCAAACTATGGCATATTATATACGCTATTTTGTTTGCTGTGAGAAATCTTTCTAGATTGCAAATACATAATAGTTGAGTTTCCCAACTTATCACTCGGTGCTAGAGAAGCAAGCAAATACATTGTAATTTCATTGGTAGGGCCTACAAAAATTGTCAGAAACAAAGAACCTAACTGATTCTGTCTTTATTTAAAACACTGAAAGTAAACAAGATTTTTCAAACATAAAAAAGAAGAATTTATTTTTAAACATTTAGTGCTATATGTCAAAGATCATCAGAATTATGACCATATTGAAAATACTGTTAGCCTTCCAACCTAGAAATAGGCCGAAACTAAAACTTTATCTAAAGATACCTTCTACTGCAAGAAAACCCAAAATGAAAGGGTACCTGCAATGAACAGAACCAAAATCCTTGATTCCAGTGTAGGCCTGTGCTTGCTTGTAAGCTTCCGTACCTGTTAAAGAAGGTACCACATGAATGCTACAATATTTACCTGGAATATTATCAGACAGGGAAAAAAAACCCAAACCCCAGAGCAGATACAGGAGAAAGGAAAATGTTTGGTATCAGAACATGCCTTTGCTCCCTCTCACCTGTAGACTACAGCACTTCTGCTGAGCGGGGACCACAGTGACACGTCAGGCAGAGACCATCTGATTCTGGGACGGAGTTTTACTGTGATCTAGATTTCACGCACGACAAAAGCTCTGTGATTAAAACAGGACGGCTCTGCTCACCCTTAGAGCCACGCACCCGTTTTACAACCTCTTTCGCGTCTCTCCTCCTCTGTCAGGCTTCCCCGAAGCATATGCTTTATTAGTGCAGCCCCCCCGCTGCGCCATCAGCCTCTCCCAGGTGAGCACCAGGCGCCTCGGGCGGCGCCAGCGGGGATGCTCTTTAGGAAAAAACCCAAACCCGGTGAGATTTCCCCCGGTGAGAGGATCCCGGCGAGGCAGGAGGGCAGAGGCCTGAGCGCGGCCCCC